AGAAAATATTTTAAAATAAATATTATTTTACAAAGGTTTGCAATTGTTTTTTTTTTTTTAATACCTATGATATTAATGAAAATTGCCGGTAACGAGATTAGTTACTTCGTTTGTTGTATAGATACACATATTTTGCAAGTGCGTGGATTTTTCTATACTACTGTATTAAATTTCAAAATTAATCTCTAGTTCTCCTTAGTTTTAATCTGTCAGAAAAGGTCATGCACTATATTACGATTTTATCCGAAGGAACGTGCGCTACTTTGTTACGGTCAAGTTCACGATGAAGATTAGGGCAAGACAGAGCGATCGATGAAAAGTAGCGACGACTGTCCGTGAGTGCAGATAGGAGAAGACAAGACATATGAGTCAATTCGCGAGTTTTGTAACGGGAGTGTCGGTTTTCGGTCCGTTCGTTTTTTGTTCTTACCGTGATTGGAATGTCATGATAATCGCATGTGTCGAGCCGTCTCCTGAATCGTAACACTGTATGGGTATTGTTTTCGTAGCCGAGAAGGAGCTGGTAATCTTGACTAGGATCGACTTCCGGCTCCCGATCCATCAGGTTTCCGGGCGTCTCTTTCACATGACGATCCTGTAATAAGAAAAAAGAACACGTCAGATTTTTCTTTCTATTATACCTATTCTTTATTTGATCCCGAAAGAAGGATAATATTCCCATTGGAAATGGGTTTTTTCAGGAAAGTTAAGCTTATTTTTGAAGTCAGATAAAAACTAACCAAAAGCGATTTCAACTGGCACGCCGAAGGTTTTCTGCTACAAATTTTGACGATACAAGGTAAAGGACTACGCACAATCCTTGTGGTCAAATTGAGTGTAACTGGATGCTCCTCATGCCTTTCTTCTGATTAAAAATTCCCATGGGTACGAGATCAAAAAAATAAAGTTTCTAAGCTAAAGATCAAAGTAGCACTTGATCAGTATAAAAGTCGTTAGTTTTAAAGAGGAGCACGTAATCATGACCTCTACCATGATCTTGATAATTATCTTCAAGGTCATTTCAAGAGTGTACTTGACCTTGTAATGTCTGAATATAATTACCAAGATCACGAGAGATTAAATTGTGAGGTAAAACGTATCCGTTTTCGTTATCCAGACACATTTTGCACCTTAAAGTGTCCGTAGCTTATATCTGATGCCATTGCTGGTATCTGTGGATATACATGGAGAAAAAGATTACCGTGCTGTCTCATAACCTGGATACCTCTCACTCACAATTGAAAAATTACAATGCTACACCACAGTAAAAATTCCTGTTCTTTATTATTGAATTAAATTATTGGACTAATATTGAATTTTGTCAATACATTTTTCTTGCACTCCCCCTACAGTGATTTCTCTCCGTGTAGATGCCTGATACATACGCATAGTACATGAATTTTATTGTATTTACTCTCAATAACAATAAGACAGAAGCAGTAGCTGTATTATCGAAGCGGTGAAATGCACCAGTTTGTGTTTTTTATTCAAATGTGATTATAAATCATGTTTCACTTAAGTATACCGTATTACTTAAGTATCAATAGTTTTAGAATTTACTGTTGGAAGATAGGTCGATTAATCAGGTTTATTAAAACAGCAGTGTAAAGGAAAGCTAAAAAATTTTATTATATCAATAATTTTGTAAAATGAATCTGTAGCTTTAATTCGATCCTATATATAAAAAAAAAATGTTTTTCATGATTTCGTATATTTCTGATACAAATATTCGGTCAGTTTTTCTGCGCAGCAAACATTCAAATTTCTCATATGGAAGTGATATCAGGCTCTTAAGGCCGAAATTTTTTTGCTCGTATTTTCCCGAAATGGTCCTCGTAAACCGCCCGAAAAAATCACGTCTGGACCCGTTAATGTCAAGTCCAGTAAGCGAATTATTTGGAACGATAGCGAAAAACCTCGTCACAATGAGAGAACGCTCGTTGACTTTATTCTGCGAATACCCAACGACGGAACTGAAGTGATTTTTTTATAGTCGTAAAAATAGATTAAGGGATAAAATTTCCAATTTGCCCTAATTGATGCCATTAACAGTAGAACACTGTTCGTTTTGGACAAACTAATCTGTCCATCTTTCAACTGACTACACTCAATTAATTTTATTGACTTGATTTAAAACTCTCCCCTTTTTTTTTGTTTTCGTATTTTATTCTTTATCTTGAAATGCAGTGATCCGAATTAGAATGAGTTACCAATTAAAAAAAAAAAGGAAAAATACGAAATCATTTCATCGGTTTATTCTGTCCCCACCCCTGAAATTAGAAAGTAATTTTACGAATAAATTGAGCCACAGTATAGAGAACTAACGTCAAGTACAATAAAGTCTGGCTGAAATATGCCGGGTACCGGTTTGGATGCGGTCCGGTACCAGGCAGTTTTTTACGATCCGGCTCTTTTTTTAGGATCCGCTCGGATAACGGATAATGCAGTGCCAGGGAATTTTACTAGAGAAAAAAATAAAAAACAAAAACCGGTAATAATAAAACCTTTTATAACCTAATAAAAATCGATAATTAAGACTATATTAAAATAAATCGTTTGTTCTAATTTGCATTATTAATTGATTACCCACTGTTTACATGTTATTAATATTTTAGTCACAATTCGGTAACGAGATTAGTTACTTCGTTTGTTGTATAGATACACATATTTTGCAAGTGCGTGGATTTTTCTATACTACTGTATTAAATTTCAAAATTAATCTCTAGTTCTCCTTAGTTTTAATCTGTCAGAAAAGGTCATGCACTATATTACGATTTTATCCGAAGGAACGTGCGCTACTTTGTTACGGTCAAGTTCACGATGAAGATTAGGGCAAGACAGAGCGATCGATGAAAAGTAGCGACGACTGTCCGTGAGTGCAGATAGGAGAAGACAAGACATATGAGTCAATTCGCGAGTTTTGTAACGGGAGTGT